CTTCTTATGTTCTCCCACTTTTCCGCATTGTCATGCAAAAGTTGTAATGAAATAACGGTAGGTAGATAATGGTGTCCCCATCTGCCGATGTCTTAACCCCTGTCGCCCCACCTCCTCTGTGCCGCCAGAGGAACGCAGTGGAACAGCTGCAACATGCGATTTTCTCTTGCGTTTAACCCACAGCTGGCCTAATTTATTCGTGTTTATTTCTTGCGGTATTACTTATCTAAAGGAAATAAATTTAAATTGAGTTTCCCTATACGAAAATTAGCCAATTATTGAGCAATAAATATCTGAGAAATATTCCTTATATGATATTTATGTTGCTACTTATAATCTTTTCCCTTAAATTCAATATTTTACATGTAAATAAGTGTTTGTTTTGCGGTGCTGATGAACTCGCTCCTCAGACAATACGTTTTAATAAAACCCGAATAGCGAATTAATGCAGCCATGCTACCAACTTGAGTCAGATTAAGTTTCGATTATTTCGTTCTTCTACAGACCTTTGAATGGGTTAAGTGTGCCACATAAATGTTGTCACGTTGCTCACGACAGCCCGTTCTCAAGATTTCTGATTTCGCGCAACTGAGGCTTCTTCGTATTATTTTTATTCTTGGCCCAAGGAGCTTGCAACTTGGCCATCAATATTTCTCTGTATTCCTCTGCAGACACAGAAAAAACCGGTTTGCCGCACCTTAACCCACCACTGGCCCCACGTTCCTTTTGCGCCGCCTTTAAATTGCAATCTTCTTCCGTTTCGTTGACTTTTGCTGTCTCAGACTCTTGGCTTTTGCTTTTATTTGGGCTTTGCCTTGGCTCTTGCTTTTTGGTGGCCAGGATAAACGGGAGCGCCGTTTAAAACAGATAACATTCATTGTAACAGTAGCGGATTCAGACTCTTTCTCTTAACCCCTTAACACCTAACCCACTCTTACCTCTTTGGAATCGTTTGGTTTGATTTTTTGCTCGCAGCGATTTTTTTTCTCCGTTTTGTCTATCTGTGTGAGTCATAAGAAAATTATGTTGCATTTTATGGGCCAGGAGCAGGAGCATTTGCAGTTTTTATCGACTCTACTTTTGGCCAAAAGGGTTCTAGAGTTGGCAAGGACCGAAGAAAAGGCCAAGTAGTTTGTGCAGAGAGCGAAAAACTGGAAACTAGTTTGACTCTTCAGAGTGCTCATATTATTTTTAAGTCTGAATTCTATAACATTTCATATAATAGTACTGCAAAATAAGTTTAGAGAGTAGACAATTATCTTTCTAACTTGGATGTTTCTCCCTGTGTGGTGATTCTCCAGAGCAACCAACATTTGGCCGAAGCATAAAGACATTAAAGACAAGTCAGGCGGAGAGACAGGGAATGGAGGCGTTGAGATTGCGACTTTGGTGCAGTGCCAGGACAACAACCCGATTGCCGGCTTTAGAGTCCTGCTTTTGGTCCTGGCTGTGTGATTTGCCATTGTTCTTCGCCTCGTCCACAGGCTGCAGGCAAAATAATAAGACATAATTCCTAAGCTTCTGTTGGTCCTGCTCCTGGTTTTGGTCCTTCGTCCTTTGGCATCTCCTCGCTGTGCTGTGTCCATATTATGCATAACTTTACGGACCTCTCACTCTCTGTGTATTTATATCTGTAGCTGCAATGAGGGCATTCTCAACCTTAAAGAAACTAGGAAAAACAATCAGAAAATAGCAATAATTACTTCATCTGTGATTTTCACACTTTAAGGTACTTTAGCTTAGCGTTGATTTAACAAAAAACCTTTGTTGTGAAAACAACAGTTAAAATAAAATAATTAGCCTTTGCGTATCTAATTTCCTACTTGTTATAGTCTGTAACTAGAACACAAAATATTTTACCAACTTTTGCTTCCAATTAAACTCTAAAATCTATGCCAACTTACTTTGTAATCAGTGTGTGAATAAGATAGATAGAGGTGTAAAGGAAAGAGACAGGGAGAGTCTAGGTATTTCTTACATTTTATGGCCAAATTCAATGCTGGTAATTAACTCTGAAATCCAATTATGGCAAACTTTTCCCAAAGTCTTCGTCTTCGTAGCTCCATACATATACCCATCCCTGTCGTTTTCCCTGACGCCGTCTCTTTCTTGTGTATGTGTGCTGGCATGTGAGGCAAGGTGTCTGTGTAAGTGCGAAGTTGACTGGCTGTGATTGTGTGGGTGCATTTATAAGTGATATGCAGAACATGCAATTAACAAGGGCAAAATTCAGTGCCGTAGAATTGGTCTCATGCTCGGGTTCTACACTGAAAATAAAATTACCTCAGAGCTCAAACGGTGTACCGATCTGTGTAATTTATATGAGATCAATAAGTGATTGGGAACGCTTCAACAAATAGAAATCTCTCATAGTTTCACTTTTATTTTTGTCAGTGTACGCTCTTCGTTCCTATATTCTACGCTCCCTTAGTTCTCGAGTTTCCCCAAAGGCAGCCGCAAAAGGGCTCACAGCTTGGGTTTTCCCACCTCATCTGCTGCTTTTGGCCCCTTCCCCTTCCCCTTCGCCTTCGTCATTGTTTCCATTTTAATATAATTCCCACGTCATAATTGCGTATTGTAGTTGCAGCAACAGAAGCTGCACTGTAGCAAAAGGTGTTGGCCTGAGAATTCTTGGCCCAAAGAGACAACAATGCCCAATGCAGAGGCCGTTGACCAAATGTTCTAGAAAATTTTCCAGCTCTTGCAATTTAGGCGAACTTCTATTGCTGCGTTTGAACTGATATGCGTATTTCCACTTTGCCGCAAATCTCGGAAAATACTAATTAACCTGATGATGCGAATGGGCTGTATTGTTGGATCATTTTCTGGACCAATGCTTTACATTTTCAATTCGCCTCTTAAAAATGGTTGTTATTTTTGAGTAGAATAAAAATGCAATCGAAAAGGATTTTTATACACTGAAGTACCTGTTCTATACTGAAATACGTAACTTTTCCTATCTCCAAGTTAATGAGCAACTTTTTTTGAAATACATAAATAATAACTTAGCTTTTTTCTTTAGGTTCCATTAGCTTTTAGTTGCGATAAATTTGTTAGCTCTTGACCCAGTCCTGAGCGGAAATTAAGTTTTTTAGACTTTTACTGAGCTGCCTTTGCAATCGTCGCTCCTTTTGCATATTATTTTTAATTTCGAGCAATCATAGGAAATTTTTCTTTCAGCTCTTCCTTCGTGCGCCTTCTTTAACGATAATTTAATTAGTTGCAAGTGGCTGGTTGGTTGGCTATTGCCTTTTTACCATTTTTGCATTCGCCCCATTAATTGCACTTAACATTTTGTGAATTCTTAATGTCGGACAATAAAGAAGTAATCGAACCAGTAAGGATTCGCTGAGATTTGCTCGTTATTCATTTATTTCATTAAAACCAAAATTCCGGACTACGTATTTTTTATGGAAAACGGATATGAAAAAATTAAAAAATATAAGTTCTTATTCAAAAATACACAAGTTTAGTAAGCAATCCAAGATTAGAAATTAAATATTAAAATGATAAAAAGAATCCCACAGATTGTTATGTGTTCTTAAGGTAATGCACATTTCACAGCTTTTTAGTAGTTGACCCAACATATTCAGGAGCATAATTCAGTGGAACAGGACAACATCTGGCAATTTGCCTAAGTGCAGCGAGCTGAACTTCGTCTTTTTCTCTGTCTAAAGTTTTTAATTAGAAACGCATCCTGTGAAAATGGACAGCGCGAGCTCTATCTCTCTCTGTCTTACCCCTGATTTTACCGGGTTTTTCCCGCGCTTTCCCTCGTCATTCCTCCCGCTAAGCAGTCAAGTGAAATGAGCAAAGAAATGCGTTGACAACCAGGCCAAAAGCTCCACAAAAGTAACTTTAATGGCAGACAGAGACGGCCAGAATAAATGAATGAAATGGGCACAGCGCCCAGGACTTGGAAAAATAACAAGAAACGAAACTTTTGACATAAATTCCCGGCCCAAAAAGATAGAAAACTCGGGCGCAAAATGAGAAGTGAAGGCTCTTTTGGTCGCCAGAGTTGCCACCTTGACGTGTGATGCTATTATCCATCGGATTAGATAAGGATATTTAGGTGCTTCAGCGAAGTGCCAAATTAATTTTAATGCGATTTTCATGGGCTGCATAACTTTGGGACTTTAACGACTATTGGCCCTAATGCAAATCCCGCGAAACAGACCGAAACAATCTTTAAATTTAGCACAGACTGAAATACAGTCTGGAGCTGCAGCTCAAATACAAAAATTTATTACCTCTCAAACATTTTTTTTGCGCTTTTTTTTTGGAGTGGCTTAAACGCCGCCTCATGCATATTTGATGCCAAATATAAAGCGGCTATAAATTCCACTCGAAATTTACGCGCCAAAGTAAGAGCAATGCGCCAGGGGTCGACAAAAAGGAAAAAATGAAGTGTGAGAAGCAAACCGAATCCTTGAATCCTTGGGATACGCATGTGTTCAAGGTGCGCTTAAAGGTAGGCAATGTATCTGAAACTTTGTCGCCTAAGCATGTGAAAAAAGTTACTGGAAATTGTTTTCATTTTTCTTTATTCGAAGCACTCCCTTTTATTTTGTTCATTTTTTCTTGACAAGTTTAGAGCAGGGTTGTTGAGGTAAAATGCATTATTAAGAATTAAACAAAATTCGTTGTACTTTGTTTTTCTTACGGTCTCTTTTATTTTAAACCGATTTTGCTGCTTTTCCTTTTGGCAAAGAAAGAGCAGCAGCTGATAAAATTTTCATGAATACTGGAAAAGTTCTTATGTCGTCGGTTTTATTTTCTGGTCAGGGGGTATAGGTTTGGAGTGAAAAGTTATGAATCTTTTCGATTTAGGCCTTATGAAAATTTGATAAAGTGGTTTTGCGTGGTGGTTAGAAATTAAAAATGTTTATATTTTTTGTATTCACAAAAAAAATTGCAATCATGAGAAGAGAAAAATCCCTTTGATTTGTAACTTGTTGCAAACTATATTTTATATTCGCTTATATCTATCTTTGCAGCACTCGTAGCTCTGAGTTCCACGATTCTGGCCGATGAATCTATTGACACACGTGAGAACGCCGACTTAACCCTCAAGTGCCGGTTTAACGACAAGTATGAGGCGAATGACTTCACCTATTTCTGGACCCGCTGGACAGCGAATCCCGCCCAATTCGATAACGTAGCCATCGGAGAAGTGCAGTTGAGTTCCGGCTATAGGTGAGTAATCTGCAGTAATATGATTAGCATAGATATACAATATTTTAAGGATCTTATTTACTTGTGAAGTAAAAATCTTAAAACAGTGCCTTATAGTATTGAAACTATCGATTGTGCCTACTACCGAAGGTATTTCAACCCTAGTTGGTAGCGTATATGGAAGAGCGACCTAGCAACTAGCATGATAATTGCGAAAAAGACTGGCTTTGAGGGATGTTAAATGCCAGCCATAAAGCTGATGTCCTTAATGGGAGTATGTGTGGGGTCATAAAGTGAATCGTGGAGGTAAATCCCGCAGCCTCTGTCCTTCTGTGGCATTAACGGTTATCCTTTTGCCGACCAGCAAGTACAGTTTATCCCGGCAGCAGCAGTTGGCAGCCATTTGTTAAGTTAATTAAATGTTTCACACTCCTCTCCTCGCCCACCCGACCTGGATAATGCGATTTATGCATGTGACTGACTGGGCTGGCAACTTAATTAAAATCAAGTTCTTGGCAGTTTAAACAAATGCCGGGCGTCTGAAACAGTTAAGTTCGACCGTAACTACGGCTTTGCATTTGCAATGGAATATGATGGTTAATATGAAAACCTTCGTTACAGTGTTTTGACTTACGCCTACGAATGACAGCCACGGTATCTTAGCATAGAGCAATTCTTTCATATCATTTATTAAAATGGGAATGATTCTGTGTTTTCAAAACCATCGTTTATTAGGAAGGTTCCTTGACTATTATATATTATTATAGTATCCAACCAAGTTTCCCATCAAGGTATATATTTATACGGGTAATCGCGATCCGTGAGGACATCTCTATTGCCCATGTCCTGGCTTAATCCTTAATGTCAAGCCGCGTGTTGCATGTTCAGACTTGCAGATACACACATGGCCAACCGCCTCTTGGTGTTTGTGTTTATGTTTCATTTTCATTGCCCCCCTTTTATCCCCAGATTTCAATTGTATTTTTATTTGCCTGGTGCCAGCGACTTCCGTTTCCCGTTGGCCGCCTGCTTTTTAATGTTCGGTTTGGTTTCTTTATGTGGAAACGCATAAATTTTAAGTGCCAACTGTGCCACACGGACCTCCATCTTCTTCCTTCTCGCGAAAATGCAACCCTCCGTCCGTTCCATTCCGTGTCGTTGCGTTTCCGTTTCATTCCGTTCCGTTTCATTCTGCATGCAGCTTGCCAAATAAAATGGCCACATGCCAGCGTTAGTATACCGCCATATACATTTTATGGGTGCACTGGAGAAAATAGCTATAGAAAGATTATACAAAAATGTTTAAAAAAATGTGGTGTTTATTGGGAGAAGAAAACCGCATATGTGGCTTAGCATTTTTTCTTAAGAGGTCTGTAAAATTGTTTAATTTTACTACCGAATTTTCCATATGTACGCATTGGCATGAGTGTGGGCACAATAAAAGCAAATCAACAAATAGAAAAGCAGCGTAAAGAGGCGTTGAGGGGCCCAAGAAATCGCGCTGCGGGCCCAGGCAAATTGTAAAATATATTTTTACTGCAATTTGTGCCGAAAGCTAACAAGGAGCCGAAAACAAGCAGCCAACAAGGACAAATAACGGGACGAGAAACAGCAGCCAGGACACGAGAACACGGCTCAAGGAGGCTAAAACGAAACTGGCCACATAATGAAGGCAAAGATAGTATCCAACCCGAAAAACCCCCTGGAAATTCCTATCTGTGCAAGAGTGAAATTACTGCAAATTTGCTGGCAATGCCAAACAAGACACACAAAACATACAAAAAAAAGAAAAAGAAATAAAGGGAATTACAGATTTTTTCTCTGGGCCAAAATGTCGCGACAGGTCGAAGGGAAAAAGAAAAGCTCTGGGCTAATATTTCGCTGAACATTTAATTTAACGAGACATCAGGGGAATGCTCTTCTCACACAGATTGAGAAACAATGAGAGTGGAATTTAGCAGGCACGAGTCCAAGGGAAAACGATTCCCCTGAATGCGAAATTCTACATGTAAAGAATTGTTTCCGGGGAAAGTGTACGATTGCATACTTGCGAGAAAAGATGGTGAAATATTCATTTTCAGAATGTGAAATCTGATCAAATGGTTTTAACGAATAATGGAATTTTCAAATTGAAAATCGCAACCGGTGTTCTACATAAGTACACTTAATGAAACATTTTAGGTCTAGTTTTAGGCCGTGCGCCGGCCGTTTAGGCATCTAATTGGCGGCCGTTTAAGGATGTCCTCTGTCCTGCTAGAAAAGTTATAAAAAAAGTTTTCTTTTTTCCCAAAGGGAGCAACAAAAAAGTGCGAATCGAGGGCACAAATTGCAATGCAGGAGGAGCTTTTTTTGGGGGAGGAGGAGGGATGATACATATAAATAAAGCCAGAGGACTATTGGGGATAAACTTGAAAATTGCAACAAGAATAAGGCAGCCGGGGGCCTTTTGCTTATCCCTCTAGAGTTGGTTTTTTGTTGTAACGCTCAAGGACACGAGTCCTTTTCCCCCACATTTTCCGCGGCTCGTTTAAAACGCTTTTCATTTGCCGATAGGAGGTGGAAAATTGAGGGGATTCCCCAGAGCGACGGCAATGACGATGACGATGACTGCGCTTTGCCAGCAGTTTTTATAATTTGCACTTTTTTTATTTCCACCGAGCACGTGTCCTGAGAATTCTATCTATCCCAGCTGCAAATGAGCAAATCGCCAGAGACTTGGCCCCAAAAACTGCGCAGAAAGTGGAGGAAGGCAGGGGAAGCAGCTGCAAATAGAAAAATACTCGTAGTAATAAAAAAATCAACTAGACAAGGACATGCGGTTTTGGCGGCTAAAGGAGGTTAGCGGGCAGTTCTGTGCTGAGTTCAGTCGATTCGCTGTCTGCTGCAGTGCAAAAAATGAGTGCCTATACCAAAATGTAGTAAGAATAAGGAGTAAGAACAGTCAAAGATTACTGAAAATCTTAAGTTATAAATTCAGTCATAGATATTATCACATTTTAAATTTTGCACATGTGCTTAGACTTTATATCAAGTGTAAAAGGTTTTTCGATTTCAGAAATAGTGCCTATATTTCGTAAAGGAATCTTTAAGTTTAAAGTGTTACTCAGTTAAATTTTCTTACATTTGATTATGATAGTTTTAAATAAAAAAATTTAGATTTGTTCTTTTGAGTGCATTTTAGGTCCCCTTTTCGTTCTTTACCCAGAATTTTTTGGCCTGTCTGCGCGTTCAGTTTAGGGATTTCAAGACCATGAGACCTGGGCAGTTTCAGTGTTTTTTTTTTCGTCCTGCTGCGGTTTGCTGCTTGGCAAATTAAATTTTCACACAAACGCGTGTTTTATTTCCTCTTTTTTTTCCATGGCACTGCGGTTTTTGGCAGCAATTAGCACAAGAGTGAAATGAGTGAGTAAATAAAACGAACTTGCGACCAAGCTAATCAGTGTGAGCCCTAAGCCAGCCCAATTAGAATCGCAAAATTGTCTAGACCAAAGTGCACAAAGCTAAGATGTCTCAGAAAATCCGACGGAACTGACGCAAATGTGCCACCCCCACTCGCTAAAAATGCTCGAGATGAGAACCAATTTCAGTGTCAGTCAAAAGTCCACTTGCAGCTTGACAAACGAACTCGGGAAAGTCTCTGCAAATGGAAAATGAAAATTTTATCTGTGAGCTGGCAGAGGGAGAGAGTAGTGGGTAGTGGGTAGAGGGTCATCTTGTTTGCCAATCTAATAAACTGCTGACTGGCCAGCGACGAAAAGCCGAGAATCCAGCGAAGCGCATTCGGGCGGCATCAATTTTCAGTAGTTGTCCAGGACAACGACGATGACGACCAAATAATCATCGTCATCCTATTGAAAAATTGTGAAAAATGGCAGCACCAAAAAAAAAATGGTAAATGGAGGACACTGAAGTGGCCTTGAAATATTAAGACATTGGCAAAATGAAGCCAAGATAAATGAAGGACGGGGAATGAATGTCTGATGGAAGCCATAGCAGAAAATTGACAAACTTGTGCTTTTTTGCTTGGGATAGATAAAAGGCAGCGAATTTTCCACTTGTTGGTGCTTTAAGATTACATGGCACTGCAAATTCCGAATTAATTATTCACTAATTTAGAATGTGACTTAATTAAAACGGAAGCTACAGACAGCTGAATTTGAAAAATGTATAAACTAAACATTAAATTTGTTTGTGAGTTCCATAAAAATAGTCACATGGAAATATGAGAAAATAAATGTTGTACATTGAAACAAGAAACAAAGAACTCTTGCAAGCAAAGTAATAATAAGAAAAATTGAATTTCCAATTATAAAAATTTTTGCAATTAATTTGGTTTACGGTGCTGCAAAGCAATTACGCCATAAGAACCCTCAGAGCTTAATAGTCCGGCACATAAAAATAACAATAAGGTAAACATTGGTGAAATTCCGAAGACTGTGTGAAAATTACTTTCCTTCTTTCCCTGTTTACCTTTCACTTGAGTTGCCTGTGTCTGAGACGCAGGTTCTTATTGAAAATTGTCTACGAAAAATATGCAAACATTTATTCGAACGTTGATTTTATTTATATTGGTCCTTCCTCGCTTCCCCCCAAAACTCCTTGCCACCCCCTCGCCCACCTCGTCAAATATTACGATTTCGTATTTATTTATATTACGAGCGTTTAAAGTTTGGCCACCTGCGGGCAGAAAACAGGAAGCGAGTCAAGGACAAGAGTGGGAAAATCCAATATTAGCACAATTAGTGACGGCCACTGAAGAGTCTGGCATGGCGCACAGAAGTCGCCTGCAAGTTTTCAAATAAAAATAAATTGATTTCGGAGCAAATGGAAATTGATTGACTGGATTTTGACATTTAACCTTTGAAGCTTGTTTCCTCTTCCGCTTTTCCGAAAAATACCGCAATGCGCAGCCCAAGCGTTGCTTTAATTTATATATTAAAGTATTTAATGCATGCAACTACAGATTTATAATTTCGCATAAAGCCCGTTACTTATTTTTTGAAACTCCTCCTCCTTCCAGACTCGACTTCCAGCCGGAGCGCGGCATTTACGATCTGCAGATCAAGAACGTGTCCTACAACCGCGATAATGGCCGCTTCGAGTGCCGCATCAAGACCAAGGGAACGGGCGCGGATGTCCATCAGGAGTTCCACAACCTCACGGTGCTCACACCACCTCATCCACCCGTGATCTCGCCGGGAAACATTGCCGTGGCCACCGAGGATAAGCCCATGGAGCTCACATGCAGCAGCATCGGCGGTTCCCCCGATCCCACCATAACGTAAGTTCGGATGTACCTGAACCCACTTGAAGTATACTCATATTTTGCCCATTTATGTAGTTGGTATCGCGAGGGCTCCAATTCTCCGCTGCCAGCGACGGTGCTGAAGGGCGGAACCAAGGATCAGCCCACCAATGCCACACTGTCCATAATTCCGCGCCGGGAGGATGACGGTGCCAAGTACAAGTGTGTAGTCAGGAATCGAGCCATGAACGAGGGCAAACGATTGGAGGCCACGGCCACTTTGAATGTAAACTGTGAGTAGACAGTTCTTAAATATATAATATATAAATATACTCAATATTTGCGGCATACTCAGAGCGTTGCATCTTCTGCAATCCGATGTGTAATAAACAAGGGAGTCCATTTAAAATGCGATTAATACAGCCCTCAGTGAAATATCAGCATAGAGATGCGATGCGCCCACTTCCAATCCCCTGGTTATCTTTGCAATTACTCACACCCAAAACCACTTGAGCATCATTAATAATTTGCCCAGTCTGACATGGAAAATAATTTCCATAAATGGCGAGTCTTGACCATTGCTAATTAGTACAGCCAATGGGGGAGTCTTGGTATTTTGTAGTGCTTTTCAACGCGGAGTCGTCCATCCGAAAAGTCGACCTTCGCTGAATTTGCATGCTTTGCGGCAATTACAACACCATCTGAATATCTGCAAATTAGCATAATGAAGGAAGGAGACAATGAACAGCCAGTCCTCGGCGTTTAACCCTGTGTTTTTCGCATTTCCCATCGCAAATGCACATGACACATTTCGTTTAAAGTATTTAGATGCAACCAGCCACGACACGAAACACACCAGCCACACACACTAGCAATAAACAGCAACGAGCACGACCAACAATCGCATAATCGCATATATCTTTTTTAAAAAGCCAACAAAACCCAGGCACATAAATTACAAATGCTGACCTGAACCGACGACCTGCTGCTGACTGAACGCAAGTAATTAGAATACAAATTTATGTGCCACTCGTCGCAGTTGTTGTTTAATTGTTGTTGTTGTTGCTGTTATTGTTGTTGTTGTTGCAACAAGTGGCAGTGTATTAGTGAAATTGCGGCAGTGTGCGTGCGTGTGTGACCTGCTAGCTGTTAACGCCGGCTATTAGGGCTAATCAAAAGGCAAATAAAGTGAAATATTGCCTCGGCCGCCGTGGCAAGGCAATCGACTGTTTGGGCCTACACCTATGCACAGAGCGAAAATGGGGCTCCTATAAACTCGCAATTTCGCTTCAACTTATTCCAGTCTCAGATTCACTTTAGCAGGTGTCTAAAAGTATGCTGGGATTTTAGAACCAGTTGTTAAGAGCTGCTAACTCTTATTTTAATGTGCCTAGTATGTTTTTCACTGTAGCATTGGCTTTATGGCCCTACTATTACCTATCGCCATGGCTATCAACTGTGTAATTAATTCAAAAACAACACACACACATGCAGAGGCCACTGTAATGGCTGTGGAATCAGTGCTAGTGTTAGTGTTCGCATTAGTATTAGTAGTGGAAAGAGGACCAAATGCAAGTGGTCAGAAGACTGTGCTAATTGCCGGGAAAGGGAGAGAAAAATAGGGCGAGTTTCGTGGGAATTGCACAATAGTTTGTGGAAAGAGATTTCAAAATGTTATAATTAAATTGCTGAAACTAAAATGTATAATGCTAAAATGCAGCTGAGCATCTTGTAGTCTAACATTTTATTTTGACCTTAGAACAAGCTCTAATTTTCCATGTTAGGAATGAGCTGCTCTATAAAACCGCATTCCAAACCAAAATAAACAAGCCACGGCTAATATTTCCACCACCACAGTGAGCCAATAAATGTGTAGGGTAAACAACAACAGCGGCTGGAAATGCATTAAAGCCAACCGCCAACGTCGTCACACACGTCGTATGAGTAATGCTCACCTGACTGTGTTAAAACTACACGAACGCATCATAAATAGTTGAATATATATGGACACATATGGACGCAAAGCTAATTAACCGCCCCTTGGCGCGACCACGCCCACTTAAAATGGATTCCATCCAGTGGAGGGGCATTTCCAAACTAAAAATTAGATACACGTGTAAGAATTTGTGTAAAATATATAGGTCGCCTACGGTTTAATTAGTCGGCCTTAGGCCACGCCCACAGCCACCCACATTTGCATAAGCCACATTAAATGAGTGCCTATAGATACAGGCATCAGATTCATTATGTTTATCTAAAGTGTTTGTTGACTCAAAAAGGTTTAATTGCGAAAATGTTGGAAAAACCATGAAACCGCAAAGTAAATTTCGAGGGCTTTGTATTTGTAAATGTTTATTAATTGCTTGCGTTTAGATTTGTTGGATGGAGTTTCAATAATTTTTGGAACGACAACAGGAACCACAGAAAGTGCAGGAAAAAACAGCACAAAAAAAAAAGGTTAGCAGGCAGAACAAACCAATCGAGTCCGTAAAGAATATGTGAACTCTGATTGTGGCTGAGGATTTCCACTTGCGGTCACCTCCGGTTTTCACATGGGTTTCCTTTGCCATTTTCCCCCACTTTCCCTTCAGTAATGCGTTTTTAAGCAAGCAGAGCAGGGTCCTGAGTAGATCAAACAGGGAAATGATGTCCTGCCTGTGTCCTGTCCGCTTTTCCTTTTGCCAGCCTTCAGGCATTTTGCGGTTGCTGCGGGCAAGAAATCCACAGGGAGTGAATGGAGAGAAAAAAGGACTTAGGCTGCTGAGAAATCAGGTGAATACACAGAAAAGTTGGGCATTTTCCCCACAAGCAAAGTTTTTTAATCCATACATGCATTAAATTTCCAATAATATCATTTAAATTGGATATAAGCAAATCAAAGCCCACGCTGATTATAAATATGAGTACTTATAAATCAATTGGAAAATAAATCAACTGATTCTTCGTTTTTCTCTGTGCCATATACTGAAACCCAAACAGACAAAACCTCTCCGGTTTTGTTTGCTTAGCCAACAGTTTGAGCTCTGAAATTAAATCAAAAGCAATTTAATTGAAATGAGGAGAGAGAAAGGGGAAGGGGAAAACCGAGAGACAATCTTGGCTGTTATCCTTTTTCACAGTGATTTACGTTGGGCAATAAAAATTCACTTTTCCTGGCTCTGGCTCTCGCTCTTCGGCCCATTGACACCTACAAATTAATCAGAAAATGAGCCACGTTCTCGGCCTAATCTCCCATAATAACTCATTCGCAAATGGCCGGCAATAAATCGCAGGGAAAAGCAGTGGAAATTGTCGCGCTAATAACCGCAAAATAACAAAATTGCCACGAAAAATCAACGATGGCAATAATTTCAAATTTCTCAGATGGCCTCTGGATAAAATGGAAGCGCCAAAGTCAAGTTTAATCTGGCCGTGGCTCTAATGTATTGCCTTTGGCCTAAAGGGTCGCTCCTTACCTTGCCTTTTCTATTCCTGATGAAGCCAATCGGATCTGAGAAGCGTGGAAACGGTGGGTTGGTGGGTCGGTGGGTGGCCTCCCCATTTTCCACCTGCAGAAAGTAGTCAAGCAACAGACAGCTGCTCTACGGGGATATATGGAAAGGGGCTTTTGTTTTTGATTCTAAGCTGACAAGGCAGGGCCAAATCTCGCACGGTCTACTCACTCCCTTCTTTTTGCTGTCAAATCTTTGTCCCCAGCTCGAAAACCGCTTAAGTTTGTTGGCAGCTTAGCGCCCTGCTACAAAAAAAAAAAATACTAAAATGCGGAAATAGGAGGAAATTCACATGCTATTTTTACAGTTGGCGAGAAATGGGCTGAAAAAGCCTATTAGAAGTGCTCACCAACGGATTTCTGTTTTAGATTTAGATGAATTTTAGATTTTATTCCTAAAATGTATATATCTTAATTTAATAAGAGCAATAAACATACTCAAAGAGTATGCTTACATATTTAATTAATCAAATCATTGGCTTGGTTCTACGTAACATAATAACGTCAGCGTAATTTCATTTAAGTTACTGCATCCCATTTAGCCACAGAAACAGTTCGTAAGCCATCTGAACCAACTTGACTGGCCTTAATGGGGATGCTCTTTAAAAATAATAATTAAGAGATACTTGCTGCAGGGCCTGCAACCACAGGAAACTCAATTTTTCCAACTCCTTTCCCAGGGGTCCATCGTTTTCCATAGTTTAATGTCAGGCAATTAACTTTTGTCTTGCCCCCCGAGAAGAGCGGAAAACGGAATGCGAAGAGTACGAAATGGAGAGAAAATGGGGGAAAAGCTGGGGTGGGGGCGGGGGTACAGGGTTCAAAGAGGAGTAGGCCTGTCACATGACCTGCCAGTCAGCGATGAGATCATGCATAAAAAAGCCAAAGGAAAAGCCGGGAGGAAAACCGAAGCGAACCAAAACCAAAGCGAACCGAACCGAAGCACGTCCTCAAATGGGAATGGAAATGTTAAATGTAAATGCGGCATATGGAAAAACGGGAAACGACCTTGCTCTGTGTTTGGGCCTTAACACCCACAGTGGGTGGGGCTGGGCGGAAAATGGGGGAAATCCTGCTGGGGTGGGCGGAGGGGAGCAGATTGGTAGATTGTCACAGCCAAATAGGCGGGACAACATGAAAATCAACCAAGCAAATGCCAATACACATGCAACACCGGAAAGAAGCTGCCACGCACTGAAACAAATAACGTGTTCAAACTCAAAGAACACATTACAGTTCTCTGGCCAGCAATGCATATTTCTAAATTGCCACAATCTTGAACGCATCTACACACCAATTCTATACTATAATCTATATAGCACTGGCGCATCTTTTTGATTTAAGTGTAAAAATAGAAATGGTCGAGGATGTTGCGGCTGTGGCATTCAAGGATTCGAGGCTTAACATGGCGTAAACACAAAAGCCTCTAAAGGCATCAACTGCGGCATATAAAGTGGCATTACATTAGAGTACGAGCCGGGAAAAAACCAAAAAAAAAAAAAGAAAAAAAAACATGCACACAGAAAATAAACGCAAACATGTCCTTTGGCAGGAAGTGCCGCAAAGACAAAAAGAGATTGTCGAGTGGCATCGTCGACGCATTAAATTGAAGATGATGACGATAATGCGCCAGATAAGTCTGGAGTCTGGTGAGTCTGGAGAGTCTGGGCGCAGGAGCTCCGAGCTCTGAGGTCTGAGGTCCAGGGGGTCATAGGTAACAGCCAACTTAACGTCAATAAACGGGAGTCGAGGGGCGGAAAGGTCGCTCTTCGGTCCGCAACAAGCCATGAAAAGAGGGAAAGC